TGAGAGCAATGATTCAGCCGGAGAGCTTGTGGGGAGGACAGAATTATTACACTTGTTGCTTTTGTTGCACACTTTTTCCCCCCATACAATGATTCCTTCAATTAACAGCAACTACTCTAATTAAGTCTCTAAACTACTACTAATAGTCAAATGGGAAGCAAGCGACTGAACTGAAGAGAGGAAAAGAAGCCACGAGTTGTGCATCATTAAGCTCTCTCTTTGAGTTTTCGTTTGACCGGCCACCACCTTTTCCTCCATGCCACGGCACTCATGAGAGCTTTTCCTCCTCACCTTTTCTCGCAGATCTTGAGTTGGAATGTTTGTAATAGTCAGATCTGGTATGGATATTCGATGTTGAATTACATACGATTTTGTATTTGTGGTGTCGTTGTGGACGATTTTTTTTATTAAGATGTAGTGGAGTGGAGTTTTATACATATCTTTTATGAAGATATAAGATAGAAACTGTAGGCTCTGTTTTCTTCAGGCGACCGATTCTATGGGCTCGACGGGATTTGATTATGAGGGTCACTTCGCTATGTTAAGATCATTTACAAAGAAGAGATAGAATCAGCTTTGCCTTCTGCTACCCTGATCAAAATGTATTTAATTTACAAATGACTCAAATGTCCATATATATATACAAACAGTGTAGATAAAGTTAGAATTAGAAAAGACATCTTGGTTAAGTATGCTATAACCTATAATAGATAGTTTATGTTTGTGCCACGAAGCCCTTGGTCCCACCTCCTTTCGAACCCCGACTCGTGACCTTCGCAGGAGCGCCCGGATCCTACACAGACAAGCGCCTAAAGGGCCACTAGGAGCCCGTTAGCACTCCAACGCTCAAGTCAGTGCAAATTCTAGAGAGATAAGTGCTCTATCAGTTTTTAGTGAGAGAAGCCAACCTGCGTAAATGCCACCTACCGAGTACTATTTATACTCGTTGAGGTCCAGACCTGGCTCCTAGAATTCTGCTCCACGTCAGCCCGTCATTAAATGCTCAGTACGGACCAACGGTCGGGCGTCTACACGTGGCAGCTTCTGCCTAGGTGCCCGCAGGGACCACATTGCCAGGTGGCGCGTCCTCAGTCCACTATTCTCCCTAGATGCCTGGTCCCCGCCCTACTTTTGTCACTATGTGCCCGATCACCTCTCATTGGCCCTAGTTCCTAACCTTCGCCTCTTCTCCAAGTTCTGATGTGGGCTTGGGCCTAGGTAACACACCCCAGGTCTATGTCCCCAATGATCCGTTCATCCTTGAGCCTTGACCGCTCACCTAGGCCCGCTCCTTCGCCCCTTCTCATGCGCTTGGGCCTGGGCGCCCTATAGCCCAACAGTTTCAAAAAATATTTTATCAACTTATAATTCCTCTATACCTAAAAGAAATCTCATAATCATGCATTGTCATTATCAGTTTTATAAGATTTCTAAAAACGAGCCCTAATGCTATCGTAAACCAATCCAACTTACAATCACATAAAGAGTGCATTTCTTATTGCTATTTGCATAATTTATTAGTTGTTTCACATACTATATAATCGTTTATCGTAATTACTCATAATATTCTTACATATTATTAGCGGTAAGTCGCCGTCATGAGTATTTTTATGATATATTCATACTTCTGAATTCTGATTTCTGAACACTTGATAATGCAAAAACAAAAAAATCAGCACCCACCTTAGGGACATAAACCCAAAATTACAGACTGGCTTCGTCAAATCATGTTGTTAGGTCATCCTACATGAGTGTGTGGTGATCATAGTTCTGAACTAGAGTGAGCTGATAGCCTTATTCTTCGTGAAGAGATAAGGAATTGAACTACTAACCGAATATACAACAAAAATAAAGACCCCACTGTCCGTCTTTATTAGAGAAGGAAAAGCCAAGGGAAAGGAAAATTCAACGAAAAATATGAAACTTGATATAGACTATTACCTTACCAAATAATAAAAAGAATTGATTCAAATAAAATCTGTCAATCTTATAATTATAGGATCAATTTGTTTTTTATTGAGTACATTATTGTATCCGTCGTACGACATTATGTGGAGAGGGCACGAGAGGCTAAATAAAGTCAGCCTTACTATTGATAGGGCCAATCGTTGATTGTAGGAAATTTTGGAAATGTGATATCAGCATGAAAACTTCCTGGGTCTGTCGGTTGGCCTCTATGCCAACTCCATTTTTTTCCATACTTATTTGCGGAGGGAAACAATATACATACGACAATATACAAGAGCTTTGCAGGCCAAACTATAAAATATAAGGAAGAAAAATATGATGGTTGACAAATGTCCGAAAATCAATAAGCTCCCGGAGGTTTCAATTTCGGTTTTGAACAATTGCCTAATTTGGGTTTCGGTTTCCAATAACTTCCGGTTCTATTAGTTACATGTGAAAATTTATATTGATTGAGTACATCATATTCGTTTGAAGTCAGGATTCAACTTAGTGTTAGGCGTATTAATTCCTTTGACCCACCAAGAACATGATATGGTTCTTGAAATGATGACATCCTAAAGTGATGTTTTATGAGAGCATGCATGTGAATGTAGTTGGGATGTAACATCAAGACCGCCCCTAATTACCCACAAAACATGGCCATGGGAGAGAGTTGCCCTGAAAACGAAAGGCTGTGCAATTGGAGAGCGACAGCCATTAAAGACGAAGAAAGGGAGGAGGAAGGCAATATTGTGACCGACCCAAAGTGATATGAACTTCCACGGAAAAGGGCATGCAACAAAGTTTTAATCTGCACACAATCAAACAGCCAATTGAAGGCAGACAAATAGTTGAAAGGTGAGGATTGAATTCCTCGATTATGAATTCCATGGAATGAGACTCCTCGTCCTTTTTGTTTCTTAGGTTTTAGTCACAATCTGTCATTGCCCTAAATGCTAAAGCAACATCTCTAGTAGTACTATACATGTACGATCAGCGGCGGATCCAGGATTGGGTAGAGCACTGGGCCACATTGGAAAAAAACAGAGAAGGCTGGGCCGTAACACGACGAACACTGAAACGAACACCTAAACGAACACCAAAAATCGAAAATTTACACTTGCTATACTAGCTCTGGATCGAGGGAGGGCTGGGCCGCGGCCCGGGGGCGGCCCCCCCTAGATCCGCCGCTGTGTACGATCGAGCTTACTCATTGTTAGAGGTAACTATTGGATGGGTTGTATTGTAATTTTACTCTGTTGATGGGAAAGTTTAGTACTAGAATCCAGAAAATATTTGATGGAAGTGTATTACTGATCGTTTTATGAATTTGGGTGCATCATATCTTTTCGCAATGGAGAATCGTTTCAGATTAATCAAAATAGTTTATTTACAGGAATGTGATTCAAACTTTTCTTTGATCTCTTCCATTAGTTTAGCTATGTTACAATCTACGTGGGGAAAAAAACAGAACACATAATCACGATTCACGACACCAAATCGAATTAAGCATAATCAAAGAATCATATAACAACAGGAAAGTCATACAATTTGACTCCAAACCCCTAAATCCACTACATATAGTTCGGGTTCCTTGCTCCAACCCCAAGTACACATGATTTTTACCCCATCAAAGGTGAGAAGAGAGAAATAAAGAGAGGAAGAGAAATAAAGGGAGGCTTCAATTCTTTGCTCCAATAATCTCCCAAAAAGATTGATGAAATTTCCCACTTTTCTAGCTGTCATTCTTCCACTCTTGGTCCCTGCCTATTCCTAATACCTCTACACTTGCACTCATTTGACCTTTGTTGTGCCCGAATCCTCACATTTATCGTCAACACCTATCAATATTCGTAATAGAAGCAATCCTAAACTAAAATACTTGATATTTAAACATAATCACATCGAATTGACTATGATAACACTTAAAAATGAAGTATGGAAATGTCTAATTTAGGTGTCATTGCTTTTCTTATTTATTGTAGATCCTTTTGACAACAATAGAAAAAAGTATCACAAATTGTTATGGGGTTTTTTGTAGTGCATTAACAGTATCAGAACCCTACAACCTAGGTCCATCATACAATGAATGAGATGAATTCCATTCATTCAATAAGATACACATGCAATCATTTCATACCGATATTATTAGTATCATACTTACAATAATAGTTGTTCTCCAAATTATTGGTACATATGAGTTCTTCACATTTCACATCTCCTTTAGTCGAGGGCTCGAGGCCATAAATGGTGAGGTTGACGTGTATTTGTTTGATAAAGATTAAAGACCAATGGAAAAGTACATTTACCAACAAATCAAAACAATACAATGTGGTTGGATTGCATACCCACCGAATATCATATCTTAATATAGAGATTTCTAATAACTAGTACTTAACAAACACTCGATTGACATAAAAGAAAGTAAGAAACTAAAGGCAAAAGGTAAAGCAACGAAATGGGCAACTAAGGATGGTAAGCGTGGAACTACAAAAGGTAAAGCCTAAAAAGGTAAAAAGCCTAATAAGAATAACGTGAAAGAGAGTGAGGGATATCATTTGGAAAAGGAATACACCCAAGCTTTTTATTTAAAAAAAAAGCTCCCTTCTTTAGTTGTAATTGCTTGATAGTGTGCTAGATTTGTATTATGTATGATATTTAGGATGGTTTGTATGAGTAATATGATGTTAAATAACTTGTTTGATAACAAAAAAAAAATGAATTATTTGAAACCTCTCAAATTATTTATAAGTAATTTATTTTTGAGCCACCTTATGGACTATCATATTGTTCTGTCTGCCAACAAATTGCACTATTCCTCCCATCTTGATCACGAACAACTCCTAAACCTCCTGGAGCACTACCCCCCCCCCCCCCTAATTATCCCGAGCTTCAGATGAGTGATGAGTTTGTTTTTTGAATGAGGACCCGAGCATCCCCTCAAAACACACTCCATTAATTTCCACCCCTCGACACCAATGTGTGGCGTCCCTAAGAGCCAATAAAATTTTCAACATTGGGTTAGTGACGGCCGCATACTCTACCCTTCGAACCCCCACCCAAATGCCCGCGACACGAGCTCATCCGCTCCTCACAGAACTAGACCGACTGCCGAGTGTGATCCACTATGCATTGCACCATCAAAGGAGCAAATCCATGTCACATCTTGTACCTCGTCCTCCCTCCCTGCACTCGACTGCCTCCTGCATCAACAGCTGGTCCATCCACCCATTCTTTAATTTGTGCCTCAAATCACATTAAATAAGAAATCTGGTACTAAATCAGTATATTAGTTCAAAATGAATTTGAAGAATGTAATTTCACAAACAAATTCCTCAACTAGTTTTCGACTTATCGAGATCGCCTCAAATTTTTTAGTGAAATACTTCGAAGGTGGAACAAAAAGCAAATTGAAAAGAGAGAATCCTAAACCTAAAACCGTCCCTACCATCCATACCAAGCTAGCACATGCCCCATTGGCCGACTGGTGCCGCTTATGGCCCTCCCCTTCGCCTCCTGCCCTGCGCCCCCACACGCTTTCCCAGCCCTTCAACTCTATTTTATATGTGAAATCAAAATCAGATCCTGCAAAAAAACCAGTTCATCTCCTCCCAACGCTCCCATATACTAATCCAACAAATACAATAGTATCATAAGCAACCATTCCTCCACTTTAGAAACAGTCCAAAAGAAGCAACAGTGGCCATAATTAATTCATGTTAGTAGCTAATCCAATCTATTTCTTCCCCCGTGTAGTGTTCTAGGGGAATGGGCTCATGTGCCTGCACATTAAGGAACAAACCCTCCTCTTATTTAGCATAATCTTGTCCTCCTGTTCCTTAATCTACCCCTCTTCTTTTGTTCTTTTTCGAGTCTCCCAAAGTTCTGGTCTTGCCTACAGTTCATAGGGTGATGTTACTTGCCTGATTTCAGGTGAAGCTTCCAACCTCTCCATGGATTCTCCCTCCATTTTTTAAATGCTGGTTGTCTCCTCTTTGGCCTATCCCCAGCTCCTTGCTTGCTCCACTTTCTCTGTGCATATATATAAAGACCCTGTCTTGAACTCCAAGAGCACTTGACAAACAGTTAAAAGACTCGAAACAGCAGTTTCTCCTCAGTACCTTTGTCTTTCTTCTGCTGGGTTGATTCCTTTTTCATAAGATGCATAGTGGGTTGCGTCCTTCTGATTGGAAGAAGAGCCCTTTAATGGAATACTTGGAGGAAGAAGAAGATCAGGATCAACCAAAAGCTCCATTGATGCCTCCTGCTGCAATCCCTCAGCCACAAACCCCAAGCGAGCCCATGGAGTTCCTATCCAGATCATGGAGCCTCTCTGCTTCAGAGATCTCGAAAGCTATTGCCCAGAAGCAGAAGATGTTCCCCAATGCTCCCATGATCTCACTCCCTGCTGAAACCACCCTCGCTGTCACTCCACAACTCGTAAGCTAGCTTCTCGTCCATTAGACCAACTTCTCTCGGTCAAAAATTGCATGTCAAACTACCCTTTTGAGCAAAATGGAAGGATTTCTGTTGAATAGGCTTTTCTCTCTTTTTTGTTTCTTTGGGGCATTTTATCAGACAGGTAAGGTGCTAAATTCAACACACTCCAAGAGAACGGGAACGATTGGGAAATGGTTCCAATACCACAGCAGGGAGACGAGTACCGGCGGTGGAGGAAGCAGCAGCAGCGCGGCGGTGAGGAAGAAAGACAGGGCGAGAGTGGAGAATGCGAGGATGCACTCTGCGGTATCGGTGGCCGGGCTGGCGGCAGGGTTGGCAGCCGTGGCTGCAGCTGGAAATTCCGGTGGTGGCGGCGGCTCGAAGATGAGTGTGGCTTTAGCTTCTGCGACGGAGCTAATGGCTTCGTACTGCATAGAGCTAGCTGAGTCCGCCGGAGCTGATCACGAGCGAGTCGGCTCGGTGGTAAGATCGGCCGTCGATATTCGGAGTCCCGGTGATCTTGTTACGCTCACTGCTGCAGCTGCCACAGGTACTAAATACATCCTCGGGTTAAATACTTAAATGCCCACTGGGATGACTAACAAATTGATCAGTGAAGTTTCATATTTTAACAAATTGATCAGTGAAGTCTCAAAGTTTAGTGATTGTTTACATGTTAGAAGCAAAGGTTTGCACTTCAATAACTGTGAAAGTGCAATAGTGCATCTTTTCTTCGATCCACTTCTTGAACTTGTATGTGACCTTCTAGTTGTTCTTATAGCTTTAAGAGGAGAAGCGGCCCTGAAATCGAGATTGCCGAAGGAAGCAAGAAAAAACGCGGCGATTAGTCCTTACGATCGGGCAATGTCGGATGTTGATTCCACCTCAAGCTTGGTTTCGCAGTCGGAAGACCAGCAGCAACTGACTCCAGCCTGTGATGGAGATCTTTTGCAGCACACAAGAAAAGGTTTGTGTCATTTTTCTTCCACGGCTCCTTCTGAGTTTGTTTATTGACAGAGGAGTGCTCAGCTAATCCTGATATCATCTGGATTACACCATTTCCAGGGGCACTGAGGTGGAAAAAGGTCTCTGTTCACATCAACAAGAAATCTCAGGTTGTAATCAAGATCAAAAGCAAACACGTCGGTGGAGCTTTCTCCAAGAACCAAAAAGGTCTGCAACTTTCTTTTCATTACTGTCTCTCCCTCCCTGTCTCTCTATCTCAGCATTCCTCTCCTCTTCGTCTTGTTGTTCCAACTCTGACCCTGTTTCTTCTTCTGATTCTGGGTTATGTCAGGGATTGTCTACGGAGTCTGTGACGAGACGACTGCATGGCCATACAGAAAAGAGAGGGAAAGTTCCGAAGAGCTCTACTTTGGAGTCAAAACTGCACAAGGCCTTCTGGAGTTCAAATGCAAGAGCAAGATTCAGAAGCAAAAATGGGTCGATGGGATTCAAACCCTGCTACGTCGAGTCAATAGCATGGAAGCAACTGAGAGATCTTTGGAGTTCTTGAACATAAACGACAGCATTTAGTCTCAGCTGCCACAGTTTTGTACATGAGAAACTCAACAACCGAACTTGTACTCTGGTCTGAAGTCAACTCACCATGTCAATAAATGTTGCAGAGATATGTGGAAAACAGAAAGGAAGCAATCTCTTTTGGTAAAATTTACCTCTAGTTTCTTTGTTCCTCTACACTCTTCCCAACTCAAATTCTAAAACCAGACAATTACAACACAATTTACGGTTAGAGCATACATTAGACATCTCAAGCCAAGTCTTATTTGTTCTTGGTCCGAGTTCCGGACAAACAAATGAGAAACGAACAACAGAAACTCCTAAGGTCACAAAACTAAATGAGAAACAAACAACAGAAACTCCTAAGGTCACAAAACTATGTATTTGCAGAAGTTCTAAAATCAATTTCCCATGTCGAATAAATGTAAGATGTACAACATTGTGGTTCACTGTTGCTTCGACTGGTTTGATCTATCACTGTAGATCATTGAATGAATGAGTTGATTGTACAGACAAAAGTAACTACCTTCTAACTGCAAGTATCCAGGCTTCTTTTTACCTCAAAAGACGACAGTCTTGTTATGCTCATAAGGCAACACTCTCAGTTCACAATAAGACTTTATAGCTTTGGCAAGGCATTGTTTTTCCAGGTTCTCTGATTTCTGAATGAAACTTCGAAGATTATCTCTGTGTGTGACTCTCTCAACCTGCATCCGTACATATTAGTAGAATATCATTTACAGGCTCAAGGTCATGTTGTAAAATGGTATTAACAAACAGTTCAGCAGCCATTAATACCATCTGTTCAATAATAGGCCCTGAATCAAGTTCTTCAGTGACAAAGTGAGATGTTGCACCGATTAATTTCACGCCTGCATCAAAAGCCTACAGAGAACATGAAAGACATTAATTATGTGTCTGAGTTCTAGTCGTAAGTTTCTTAAAATGGTTCATTTCTCACCAGAAATGAGTTGAAGTTTTGAAACCAACCTGCTTAGAAGGGAATCCTCCTTTAAATGATGGCAGAAGTCCATGGTGAATATTAATTACATCTTTCCCATAGCTCCTTAAAAACTTACCAGATAATACCTGGAATCAGTTATTCTGAGTATGAGAACTTATTTTCCCGAATGTATCACAGAAGAGAGAAAAAAAATTCCTTAATAGATCCAAACAAAGACACAAACGGCACACACAAATTCATTTACCTGCATGTACCTGGCAAGTACTAGGAAGTCAGTATTCTGGACCAATTTCAGAATCTCCTCCTCCCTTTTATTCTCTGTGCTTGTGTCCAAATAATGATAAGGGATCCCATTTCTTTCAAGGAAACGAATCACATGTGTATTTGGAGCTCTTTCATGGTTACTATTGCAGAAAGCACAAGGAACACACATGAGCAATGTATCAAGTCAAAAGAACCTGTTAACAGTGGATAAAGCTCTCAAAACTCAACCTAATTACACAAACTATGTCGACCGGAAGTTTTCCATCCTGCCATCCATGCAACATATCAGTCAGACAATGTTCCTGCAACAAGTGAGAAACAATGGCTTATCATAACGGGTACACCCATACGCTAGTTAAAACAATAACAAACAGTAGTACACTACCTGTTTTGAAGCAAGAATGGCAATTTTGTACTTGGGGTCCAAATCGGGAACCCGGACAACAGATCTCGTTGCATTGAACGATCTAGATAGCTCCATGAAATCCTCTTCCATCTGTGCTCGCGGCCATTTAACATGGTCGAAAATGAACTCACTGCACGAGATTACAGGCATTCTTGACAATCATAACGACCAAAGGAAATACTAAGCTTGATAAAGAAATGTGCTTTCTGTCCAATAACGACAAACAATAGTATCATTTGCTTCATATACCTATGATCTCATCCTCATCGAACCTGCCAATTTCTTAAGCTTCAATGTTACCAATCAAGCTATCCAAATCCCCAAACCCAGATAGAAGAGATAACTAAAACCTACGCAATCCAAAGATAATATCTCAAATCTGCGTTTGAAAGAGATGAATCCCCCATAGATTCTTCAACCAACAAGCCCAACAACCGAAATGTTCTATCCGAATTCAAATGAAATCGGGGTTACCTTCTGGAATAGAAAACCTCTTTGTTCTCCGGCACGAAAACGTCAGCTCCGAGTATGTTCCCGCCTCTGGAAGCAATGCAATCCGAAAGCTTTGCGACGATACCACGACCATCCTGCGAACCGGCGGAAAACCCATTTCAAGTCGGATTCTGCAGATGTAATTGCTGCCGCGATAGGAAAAAGAAGGCAAGTTGATGGAGAGGGTACCGGGCACTGGAAGACATGGACGCCATAGGTGATAGATGAAGAATCGAGAGGCTCGCCAGGGAATCTGAAGGACTTGATTGACCTGCTAGCGAATCTCAGAAGTTGGGGAATGAAGGTCGGAGGATTCTTCGTCCTCCGTAGAATCGGACTCATTTTCTCATTGTCTTTGTTTTCTCGTCTATTTCCCTTTTTGCGCGGCCAATCCGAGTTTGACCAGGAAGGAACCAAACCACATGCGAATCGTGTTGAAGAGCTCAACCACCAGTACCACCCTTGTATTCGGTCCATTTGGTCGAGAGTCCAATCCGGTCTAAATATCTATTCGGCCCATCATTTTTCCAGTAATTATAAAATTCATGATTACCAAGTACTAGACCGCATTATACTCGGTTCGATCTAAATCTGGTCTTAACATCGATTTAGTCTGGTGCTATCCGATACGTAACCATTTGCACACCTCTACAACCAACGTACACATTCAAAAGTGAATCCAGGTTAGATTCATACGTCTTTGTTGAGTTTTGAATGAAAACTCGAATTTCATCATTACAATGTAATTCATTGATGGAGACAATACATATAATTACAATCTCGTCGGATTATGAATCACTTCCTCTCCCTTCTCTTTGCTCGCCTACAAACCCTAGCCGCCTTATACACTCTCCCCGGCCGACAAAAATACCCCTTCTCCGGCGCACAATGCAAATCCTCCCGACAAACACACAGCCCATCCAGCGCGCAACCACTCCCCAATTGGCCCGGCCCATCTCCCCCAAGCCCAAGAACATAATCCGTCCACTCGCTCGAAAACAGGCCCAACGGGTCATAATCCTCCCTCACCCGCAAAAACCTCGCCCCTCCGTCCCCGTATTTTGAAATCACTCCCTCGAACGCCACCCTCCGGTTCTTCGCCCAATGCGGCGTCGCATTGTACCTGAACAGCGCCATCTGTTCGATCTCCTCCATGGCGTCCTCGTGCAGCCGCGGGGCCAGCGGGTCCCGGCTCCGGTAGTAGCTGAAGTCGAACCCGACCGCGTCCTCGGTCTTGCCCAGGTACGCGGTCGAACCCTTGTGGAACCGGACCAGGATCCCGTTGTACTCGTCCACGGCGCAGACGGACTTTGGGTTTTTCGCGACGAGCCTCTGGACGTCGCGGATGAAGCCGGCGACCAGCGGAAGGCTGATGGTGAATGTGGTCTGGTGGAAGAACGCGCCGTCGATGCGCGGGTCCCACGAGCAGCTGGTTTTGAGGTTGTCCTCTGGGCTGAAGAAGCAGCTCCCGCTGGCTTGGAGCTTGTGGTGGTACCCGATGATTGGGTATCCTGTGAAGTTGTTACCTGTGCATCATGACAAAAAAAAAAGTTATTGATTTCAATAATTCGAATTGTTGCGAGTAATCTAGTGAAAAATGTGTTTTGAAGTTTGAAAGTTTATGCTTTTACATTTCTAGTTTACCCTAATGTTTTTACGTAAAATCGCATTTCTCTTAATAACGTAGTCTAAATTGAGTTTGAAAGTTTCCGCATTTACGCTTCTAGACCGCAAAAATGTCGACATTCGGCGACTACTGGCGCGAGATTGGGTCGTCTCGCTTGGTCATGTGTTCAGAGAAGCAAATTTCACAGCGGACCATTTAGCTTCGGTGGGTCACACCCTACCTGTGGGAGTGCATTTGATTACCAACCCGAGTTCTACCTTGCGGTACTGGTTGTATTTTGACTCTATTGGGGTTCAGACTCCGCGTTCTATTATTATTTAAGGGTTAGAGCGCCCCTTTGCGCTCTGTTTCTCACCCATAAAAATGCTTTTGCGTGAAATTGCACTTTTGACTTGCTTGGTTGTGAGAAATTCAATCATGAATCTTATACTATTTATTAATAGTTTGAACAACTCCATCTCACGATAGTTATAAGTGTAAGAGAGTGGTATAAGATCCATAATTAACATTTTTTTCGAAAACTCTAATTATTGAAACCAGTTGATTTATAAATAGTAGAGGTGGCAAATGGATTGGATTGGTGGATTGGTGGATTGGATTGGTGGATCCATGGATCAAATGGATTGGATCTAATGGATTGGTGGATTCATGGATTGGATCAAGTGGATTAGTGGATTATCCATGAATCCAAATGACATCATCAACCAAGGACCAATATGTAAAATGTAAAAAGTCTAGGTACTAAAATATCACAATAAAAAATTTTAGGTACCAAAACGTAATTTTCCAATGATATTTTTCGTATAAAAAATTAAATTTTAGGTACCAAAATGTAAAAAATAAAAATTATAGGTAGTAAACCGTAATTTGCCAATGATCCATGGATCCTATCCATGAATCCACCAATCCAATTGGATTTGGATCAAATGGAATGGATTTAAATGGATTGGATTAGGTGGATATTTTTAATGGATTGATGGATTGGATTGGTGGATTGGATTGAAATTGCCACCTCTAATAAATAGTATAAGAACGATTATATGCTTGAATTTACATGTTCAAATCTTCACGACCCAAAATATTAACTTAAAACAAAATATATGGTATAAATGACTTGTACAAAGTTCAAATTCATAAATTAAATTTTATTGAGAGAAACATGTAATCAACTGATTCTCGACAATACGTACCGTTGTTGGTGAATCCATAGGCGGAGTTGTAATACAAGGGGAGGACGTCCTTTGCAAGAGCGCACCTCTTTGCAGCATCCTCCTTGGCTTCGATCTTCTCCTCTAGAATTGCAGCGACACATTATTGGCGAATGGTGAAAAAGTACCGATCAACTTCTTTTGGGGGGTTAATTCTTTACCTGTAGCTCTGCTGGAAATTGAAGAAGAAGAAAGGGCCCTGCGCATGGGGAAGAAGTCGTATGCGCCATCGCCGGGCACTTCGAGAGGAACCCGATCGTCGTTCCGGTAAACTGCTCTGTGTTGATAGGGGTACCACGATATGTCGGCGAACTCGTGTTTCCGACCAAACGAAATTGCCCGGTGCGCCAGATCTGTGTCGCTTCTCTTGCGGAAGCTGATTGAACGCTTGAACAACGGCTCCACTTTTAGAGTTATCTGCAGATGTCAAATTGGGATGGTCGAGCTGAGTAATGATACAACTGGAAAATATACATCATCAAATCAAGTTTGAGGTGTAATAACATGAAAGGATGTTGTTAAGTCAAGTCAAAGTGGTTAATTCTTCATTTCTATCGGAGTAAAAGAAAATTAGGGATGGACAAGAATGTGATTCACATCATGTTAGTCGGTCTAGTCGTTCAACATTCTAATCAGACCTAATTTGGATAGTATGAGTATGTTCGACAATGATTCTATCTTTTTTTTTACTTCTCATTTGCAAAAATTAAATAAATTATAATAAAAACTGAATAAAATCATGGTTTTGTCTTTAGTACACTCATTTTTTTAGTGCATCATGTGCACTCGCATCATAATTGTCATTATGAGCAGACGATTCATGTCAAAATGATATCATTTGTCACTTGTGATATGATGGACAAAAAAACACATGAATTTGCACAAAAGTAATTCAAATTCACTTTGATTTGAATTATTTAGGGTTTAGGAATTTAGTGTTAGGGTTTATGATTTACAATTTGGGGTTTAGGGTAAGGATTCAAAACTGAAGGATTAGGGTTTAGGATAATGAATCGATTAGTTATGATTTTATATATGTTATATCACCATATTATACCAAGGAGATCAATTAAAATTCGATGTTTTAAAACAACTTTTAAAGTTGGATACATATAGTATGCACTTATTTTTTTTTTATAGTTACATCATAGAGCCACCTTTTTATTCGGACTTATCATCATTTTCTCTTTACTTTTTCACACATTTATTTATTCCGATTTTCGCGTTCACTCGTCATTTATTCGTGTGGTGAGCTGGGGAACCGGTAATGATATCCCATTTCATATCAAATCGATTATGTCATAGATAACAAGAAATAAATTCATCAATTCGATATAGAAAACAAAATCACCTAAGTAACAACAAGTCAACAACCATCAATAAATAAAAAATTACGTACCTTACTAATAACTCCAAGAACTCCAAGGGAAACCCTAGCAGCATCAAGCTCCTCGTCTCCCTCCGTCAACTGCCTCACCTTAACGTAACCCTCTTCCTTCCTCCCGGGGCTAACAATCGTCAAACCAACAACATAATCACTCGGCGATCCGCCTTTCGCCATAAACGTGCTCCCGTGCGCGTGCGTGCTAATCATCCCGCCAACGGTCAGCGCCCTCAAGTACGGCGTGTGGGCCAGCGCCAGCCCGGCCCGGGCCAGCGCGTCGTAGAGCTGCCCGGTCAGGACCCCGCTCTGGACCGTGACGGTCAGACCGGCCGGGTCGATCTCTAGGATCCGGTCGAGCTTGTTCGTGCTTATGAGCAGCCCGTCGGTCCCGTCCGGGCAGACCAGCTTGGGCATGCTGTGGGAGAACCGGGTGGTGACTTTCATCTTGCGCCGGGCTCGCGTGCCGTTTGCCACGACGGAGATCAGCTCGGCCTCCGTGGCCGGGTAGGCGACCGAGCCGGCCCGGCAGACGGACCGGTCCGATGTGAAGTTGCCGTAGGAGTTGGTGACGGTGCAGTTGGTGTTGTGGGACGTGCATTTCACGGGGGGCTCCGGCGGGCTGGAACTTCCCGGCGGTGTGAATGCGGTGATTGTGAAAAGGATGGTGCATATTGCTAATGTAGAGGATAATTGAGTGCCCATTTTGTTCATTAAAAGAAGAGTTTCCCATCTATTTTCTTTAAATTCTTATTTTGAATGTTAGGTTTGTAACTCTCAACATATTTTTTTTCCCTAAAAAAAAACTCTCAACAATGGCAGGAGTTTTTGTTGTCGTGAGAGATTTGACATGTTGTTGTGCTTGAAACTCGAATAAGTTATAATTGAGTTTGTAACTGATCTAATGATTTTTCAAGTATATAATAGTTACGAATATCATACTAAATGATGTAGATAATTAGATATGCTACAAATAAAGCTTTATTAAATTAGTATTATGTAGTTATATTAAGTGGACAGTGGAGGGGTGGGTATTTGCCGCCCATAGTTAGAACGGAAAAGACAAAATTGCCCCTAGCCCTAACCCTATCTATCCACCCCTCCCACCCCACCCCCACACCCCTCCCACCCCAACCCCACCCCACCCCTCCCTGCCTGCCGCCCAGCCCACCCTCTGCCGAGAGCTTCCCCCAGCCCACCCGCCGGCAAACTCCTCAAGCAGCCGCCGCCGCCGACTTCCCCCTCTGCTCGCAGTCGCCGCCCAGGAGTCGCCGCCCAGGAGAAGCTGAAGCCGTCGCTGTTCCAGTCGTCGGCGTCGAGGTAATTTTTTTTTTTTAATACTGTCTCGCCCCCGTCCGCCTGGTCGGAGCGGACCCCGTCCGCCAGGTCGGAGCGGACCCCGTCCGCCAGGTCGGAGCGGACCCCGTCCGCCAGGTCGGAGCGGACCCCGTCCGCCAGGTCGGAGCGGACCCCGTCCGCCAGGTCGGAGCGGACCCCGTCCGCCCGGTCGGAGCGGACCCCGTCCGCCCGGTCTGGTCGGACCCCGTCCGCCCGGTCTGGTCGGACCCCGTCCGCCCGGTCTGGTCGGACCCCTCTGATCGGGCCGGTTGATTGGGTTTCTGATTCGGTTTGAATGGTTGGTTTAATGAAATATTTATTAGATTTATTTTAAATACAATTGTTAGTATATTAATTAATTTAATATTGATAGTTGATTAATTTGTATATAATTATAATTGTTAATTAATTATATAATGCGTTAGTTTATTAATTGGGTAAGTTGAAATAATTATAATTGTTAATTAATTATATAATGTGTTAGTTGGGTAAGTTGAAATAATTATTTGAATAACTATCTAGTTAAATTAATTAGTAATTGATAAATTAATTAGATAACCAAGTTGTATGTATCATAATTAGTAATTGATAAATTATGACTATGAAGAAATTGCTAATCTAATAATTTATTATAATAGATTAATTAAATTAAGTAGATAACATCAAACGAAATATTAAGTAGATAACAAATTGTATGTATCATAATTACTCTATGAACAACAAGTAATTGCTCAACAAATAATTTTCAATAAGATATTAATAGAAAATTATTGTCTATGTTTAGAGATGGCGTCATCTGGTAATTCTGGAGGATCACGTAGTTCTGGAGGACCAGGAAAGAGATTGAAAAGATTCCTTGGGCGTAACATTAGCGCTAGTGCGAGAAATAAGGACCCAAATGATAGAGATGAGCCACAACCACAGCCACAGCCTCAGCCACAGCCACGGCCACAGGTGACACCGATGAGATATAGGGCAGACGGTTTCCCTGAGTTTGATTTTCGGATGCCTAGTATGGGTGGTAGTGGAGCTGGTCCCGGTATTGATCATCATACTTCATCGTTTGAGCCTTCAGACGAGATTGACGACGAGTCGGAGGAGTATGAGTCGGATGCTGTTGAGACACGTATTCCACGAGTCAGTCCGATCAGAGACAGAGGTGCCCCCAGCGTTGCGTCACCTGTCGTTACTGGGGTTCATGCTGTTACTGGGATCTATAGAGACCACGCGGGGCGTTTCTATAGAGCTCCACAGCCTGGTGAGGGCCAGAGTTCTACTGCTGATGTAGGAGAGGCCTGGGAGCCTAGAGGACCGTGTCCTGGCGGGCCGAGCGACCCGAGTTTGCTCTGTAGCTTTCTTGGGCATGTTGCCCACCGTCTGTACACGGGAGAGGCTGATAGAGGGGTGATCACTTGCTACGACAGGAGTGCGACCCTTTGTCACGTTCTCGGCGGTTATCAGATAGCAGATGATAACGCTAGGACTACCGTAGAGACATCGGGCCTTGCTCACCTCGTTGATATCACCTTCCAGAGCGAGTTGGACCCTGCTCTCATCTCGGCATTTGTGGAGAGGTGGCAGCCGGATACTAACACCTTCCACATGCCGTTTGGAGAGATGACGATCCTCCTTCACGACGTGGCACACATTCTTGGGCTTGCGGTTGACGGAGAGGCGATGGTAGTGGATCCGAGGCAGTTGGAGAAGTTTGCACTGGAGGCTGACATCCGAGCACTACTGGGATTAGATCGTGACGAGGATGAGTACGGGGCGCAGGTTGGCGAGGTTGCTAGTCTGTCTAGGTGGTACAGAGGATTTGGTTTGTCGGGTGTGGGAGCTTTGACTCATTTGCAGCAGTCTGGTCCGCCAGCTAGAGAGGCTCAGTGCTACCTTCTTTTGCTGCTTGGGTCCACACTGTTCGTAGATAAGAGTAAGGACCGTGTTTCTGCTGTTGTGAACTTGTTTGTGAAGAGGCCGGATATGCTAGGAGAGTATGCGTGGGGGGCTGGAGCACTTGCTTATCTGTACAGGCAGCTTGGTATTGCCTCCCGGGCGGAGGCTAAGGGAGTGTCGGGTTGTCTGACTTTACTACAGTGTTGGATTTACGACCACTTTCCTACTTTGAGGCCTACTCGGTTGGAGCCACGAGAGCTGGAGCAGGGGCAGGCAGGAGCATTCAGGTGGCGCGGTACAGCACCCCGGTCGAGTAAGAGGAGGGATGCACAGATGCTGGCTTATTATCGGCAGGCGATTGATAGATTGACCCCTCAGTCAGTTACTTGGACTCCGTATGGTCGTAGTCCTCATCTGACGGTGAGACGTACCTTGTATCAGGGCCTGCTCAGATTTGCAGAGATAGCAGAATATTATGATCCCACTAGGTGCCTCCGACAGTTAGGGTACGTGCAGGGAGTACCGTATCCACCGGAGCGTCCGCTTGTTGTGCGTCGACCTGCTTCCACGCTTGGATACTCTCTTAGCTACCATTCTGTCTATGATTCGTATTGGAACAACTTGGGGGCGCATAGTGTGCATCTGGACGTTTTTTCTACTCAGATACGACGTAGGCCATGGGAGTTTGCTGAGAATTACATGACGTGGTACATTAGGCACTCGCACCCACATATACTGAGTGACAGCCGACCTGTTGATGACATCTCGGATGCTGATACGGTTAGTACAATTATATTTTAAATTATTTGTATTAAATTATTTGTAACTAATATGTATTTAAATTGTATGGTTTTTTATTACAGTTGTCACGCGAGATGTGGGTTGAGATATCTCCCGTGATGGATGCTGCACAGGGTAGTAGGGAGGAGTGGATGGCTAGCGCCAACGAGTACTACGACTTATGTCATGGAGTTGGGAACATGTGGCCCGAGTTTAGGAGGAAGTCAGATTTTCTACCACCTCCACAGTAGTTGTATGATTATTATTTCATATGTATGAGTGTTATTTGTTGTTTTTAGACGAGTTGACTTATGTGTTCTACTACGACTTATGTTATGTGGTGTTCAGTTGCTTATTTGTTGTTTTGGGACTATGACTTATGTTATTTGTGTAATCTGATTATGACTTATGTGGTTTATGTTGTACTTTGGATGTTTTTATTATATCATGCTTCCATGTGACGTAAACAAACTTCATTACAATTTATTTAAATTGAAGACGTTCATTACAATTTATTTAAATTGAAGACGAGTACAAGTTTATTTCTTTTTACCCCTCTTTTTGCGTGATGGAAAGTTACTCGCCGCACCCCCAAGATCGAACCACATTTGACTAAACGGCGCGAAATATGTCTCCCATCCATCCACGCTTGCTTGGTGACCGTCTGGCCACATGCCATGTGGCGGGGGCATCGGTATCTTGTCCGCCGGGAAAGAGAGGTTGATCCAATGGTTCTGGACGAAATGCACAACAATGACTCCTCTAGGGTGGGCTTCCCCATATATGTTGTCCACTGGCAGAATGGTGCAGTTGTACGATTGCGGAGTTGGGTAGAAGTAATGGCTGTACATGACAACCGCCAAATTAAATAGTGTGGCAAATACGAATAGATCCACACCCATCATCCAATGATGTTGAGTCGTTGGTTCTGTAGTAGTGATGTCAATGCGTCTGATTGCATCATTGATGCCTTCACCGTAGATGGGTGCGTATCGCCAATCGTGCTCACGCATTTCTTCAGCAAGTCGTGTCCTCACCCCTGTGAACCCTTCTTGAGTACCATATAGTGCAAAACTAAGTGCACGAAACCCACAATGACCGTCTGGCGCCGGGTCGTGGATGGCAATGACAAGCGGCCGAATGAAGACAGGAAGCAGTTCCATGTGTTCGTAATCGGAATGGGCGCTGCTGGGTCCAGGGATATCTGTGAAGAAAATAGGTAATCAGCACAATTATATTTTAAAATATTAATATAAATAACTACACTTATGAAAAAAAATTAAATTGTACCTGTGTCAAAGCAGTTGTATTTGTTGTTATCTTCTGGATCATCACACTCCTCCGCTGCATGGTCGTCTGACGGGTACTCGTCTGTCTGAGTCCCCGTGGACTTGGTACTGGTCGACTTTGTAGACCCCGACGTTGTGCTTCCCGACTTCTTTTTCATGCTTTTCTTATTGCCTCGCAGTATCTTTTCCCACCACCCTTTCATTCTTCCAGTTGATTTTTTGGCTGGGCGCCCCTTTCTAAATTCGTTCACTTCTGGCTCGTGAATGTTGTCCTCCGCCGGGTGGAGACCGCGAAACACGTTCTTTGCTGCTTTTTTAGTTGCCTCTGGTCCTCTGCGTACAGCCTCATCAACCAACTCCCGAAGGTGAGATCTAGCCTCCTCCTCCTGGGGAACGTACTCCTGAGCATTGGGTGGATGCTCATATGACAGTGTCCGCCAATATATATGAATATCACCGGGATATATCTCTATGTCTCGCGCTCTGCCATCCATAACTTGACATCCACACCTCAAGCCGTGTGTCACAGAGAAATGACATGCACATCGGGAGTTCTCATTTTTTTCCAAGCGGGCACCCAATTCTTCTTCAGCCTCCTTCATTAATATAATTGCCTGCATGCTGACCTTTCTTCTCAAGAATGTGAATGGTGTACCACCGGATGCTGAAAGGGTTTTCTGTCTAGAGTTTTCCAACATCATCCTAACCTCCCCGAGTTGGTTAGTAATGTAGCGGTGGTTTCCTTTCCATACAGTGTCCATAGATCCCCGCGAGTTGTGGAGGAAAGTCTTCAAAGCGGAATGTGACGACTCAACCCTGTTTGTGCTCGTATTTCCTAGATGAAACACATTTTTTGTATGACAAACAGCCCACTTTTCTCGATGTTGCCACCACACTCCCTGTATGTATTGCAACAGACGTGGTTCTTGATTGCCCCATCTTGTCCTAAAGCGGCCAAACGCGGCCAACATACCTTGCTCTGACCAAGAATAAAGCATAGGACACCAATATTGGTCGTACGCCTCGTTGACCAAATCCATCCTGTTCTTCCCAAATATTTCCAAGCACTTCTTCTGCACATTGGTGTTGATGTGCCAAACACATAGCAAATGCGGGGTGCGGGGGAAGACCACAGGAACCGTAGCAAGTAGTCCACCTTCGTGGTCGGTGACGATGACAGAGGGCACGCGAGGATGGAGCAATTGTTGTATGCACTGCAACAGCCACAAATACGACTCTTTTGTCTCATCCTTCATGAGAGCACAACAGATGTTGAAATTCTTCCCAACTGGAGTTGCACCTACGACCTCCACCCACGGCCATTTATATGCATTGGTCTTATACGTTGAGTCGATCAGAATCACGTACGGCCAAGCCTTCAACATCTGGATGGAAGTTGGATGGGCAAAGAAAAGATGTGTCAGCACGTCGTCATCGTCCTTCATAACCTCTGTATGATAATTCTCACGTTCAGCTTGTAGCAACGCATACTGCACTGCATTCATCTCGCCCATCTCTTCTTTCCTAGACTTGGACCCGAGGTTATACATCTGCCTTTGGGTGTGATGCCCTTTGTCACCCTTCTGCTTGTTTATTGTCTGCTTCTGTTGCGACGGAGGTACCCCAGCATCTCTCATCTGCTTAAGAGATTCTTTATCCTCCTGACTCAATTTATTCATTTGACTGTGGCCCTCGGGATAAAGCATTTTCTCATGACTGTGATACCCTCGCCTTAAACCGGTTCCTTGCTCCGCGACTCCTTGTATCTCCCAGAATGTAGGTCCATCAAGAGCATCTGGATTAACCAGTATTTCTTTGATTTTAATCTTGAACATGCATCCCGCTCCTTTTGAACTTGTATTGCCACGACTCTCTTTGGAAGGATCCGGCTTGTATGACTTCCTCTCCCTACTGCATCTGTCGCAATACATATAACAGATACCCAATGATCTTTCGTTGCCCAAGTCACGTGGCTTCATCGATCCCTTAGTTAGAAAGAAACCAAGAGACATCGCGATGTTTTTGGTCTCTGTTACAGCATCTTCGAAATTGGCATATCGGACGCCATTAAGAAAATGGTCTGTGTAATCACCAATTAGTTCAACATTGTCAGCCATGTCCACCTGCAATTATGATTTTGACTCTCGTTAGAAATGTACAAATTATATGATTCTACAAAATTAAACTAAATGCAATAATTTAATTAAGTCTAAAAAATACAGATAATTTAAATATAAATTATTAAACCAAATTAGCTCTACGATTTAAATCTAAACACAATAAAACTAATTTGCGCTACAACAAAACACAATCACTTAATTAAACTAATTGTGCTTTAATTGACTCTACAAAATTAAACTAAATGTAATAATTTAATTAACTCTAAAAAATAATGATAATTTGACGATAAGAAAATTATTTTAATATAAATTTTTAAACATCTTTAGCTCTACGAATTATATCTAAACACAATAAACTAATTAGGGCTACAACAAAACACAATCGCTTAATTAAACTAATTGTGCTTCAATTGACTCTACAAAATTAAACTACATGCAATAATTTAATTAACTCTACAAAATAACGATAATTTGACAGTAAGAAACTAATTAGCGCTACAACAAAATACGATTCGCTTAATTCAAACTACAAAGGAATTTAACTATGTAAAATAGAAATAAAAGCAATAAATTATAAATTATTAGCTCTAGAAATAAAATAGGAAAACATACAACACTGTTATGCAACCGGTCGTCGCTCGCCGGCGTCGGATTCCGTCCGCTCGCCGGCGTCGGACCCCGTCCGCTCGCCGGCGTCGGACCCCGTCCGCTCGCCGGCGTCGGACCCCGTCCGCTCGCCGGCGTCGGACGGCGTCCGCTCGCCGGCTTCGGACGGCGACCGACGACGGCGAGCGGACGCGGTCCGATGACGGCGAGCGGACGGGGTCCGCCTCCGGCTAGCGGACGGGGCCCGACGCCGGCGAGCGGACCGAACAAAAAATTCAGGATCAGCAAGAGGTTTACCTGCTTCGCTGGTCCGACGACGGGGTACGGCTGCCGTCCAGTGCCCGGCGATATCCTGACGAGATTGGTCCGGTGACCGGCGAGTTTGGCTGCCGTCCGGTGGCTGTGGTGTTTGTGGGGGGTTGGTGGTCGGGACTCGGGTAGTGTGTAAGTTGTTTAAAAAACCATTCAGCGAATAGAATATAAAGAAATATTTGGAGGGCAAAATTGTCCTTTTAGTGTTTTTTACGGGCGGCAAATAGTAATTGCCCGGGCGGCAAATAGTAACCCTCGTTGATAAGACCTTAGCCCCCTCGCTCGATTATCGCGGTTCAATTCAAGTCAAATTCCTGGACGCATCACTGTTAAGGGATGGACAATAATGGATGGGTTGGATGAGTTTCGATTTCAAATTGAATCATCCGCTTATTAACGAGTTGATTCAATTGTAACTCACTATACATCCACATTTTTCTTTGTGTTGGGCTGAATAGGTGGTGAATAGATGCGGTTGGGTTGTGGGTTAATCCCAAAAGCAATTACTTGACTAACAATTAGACATGTTAACTAATATTTATAATATGGTAAATACAATATATTAGCCATAACTATTAAACAGCGGGGAATTATAGCCACAACTATCGAAATACAAATTATTAGCCATAACTCGCCAGACTCGCCTGGCCTTCGCCGCCACCAAACACCCTGCCGCCAACCACCACAACCGCTCCTCCTCCGCTGATGACTACGCCTCTTATGTATCGTCCGATTCCCTCTCTTCCTTCGGCGACGACCCTCTCGCCGCCTCAAGCGACGAGCTTATTGTCGGCGTGAAGAGCTAGTATCGCGTGGTTTATCGCCTCGTCAATGGGATCTACGTCCTCGGGATCACGATCGCCGACCATGACAACTCCATCAACGTCTTCAAGTGCAAAACAAGTATGTGCAAAACAATTTGATCCACAATCCATACATACACTACACCAATCACCCACCATAGTAATTTTAGTATTTATTGGCAGATTGAACCACATGTTAACACGCCCTCCCTAGCAATTTCTCTGTATGACTAGTTTGAGCTTATTTATAGGCTAGGTAGGTGCACAAACTTGTATAGGATTAGTTACAATAGTACAGGTTCCAATACGTAATTAAACAAATAAGGTTGTTACAAGTTGGTTAGATCAGACGAGATGACGATATATATATATATATGTTCAATATCGTGATGAGAATACGATATTTTAGCGTTAAGTTAACGCTGGAGATATATTGAATTAGACGTCGGTGGTGACACGTGTTTGCATCGCACAGGATCCATTACTCCAGTTCACTAATAACGGTTGCAGCCGATCATTTCCTTTCCTTTCCTTTCCAGCGGAATTTGCAAACCTCTCTGCTTCGCCGTCTCCTCGCAGATCAGAAAATAAGCTCAGAGATAGGAAAGAGGGGAATCTACTCATTAGAGAAAACCAGAGGGAAGCAGAGATCTAGATCCGTCCAATTTCCCGGCGTTCTGGATTCCCGCCGTCGACGAAATGTCTTGCCTCGCTCTCTCTCTGCAACCGGCCAATGGATCCGACATTCTGATCCAAACCAGAGAATGGTTCCCTCCGGCGCGAGCCCTAGTCGCAACCTCCGCCTTCCGCCAGACTCGCCTGGCCTTCGCCGCCACTAAACACCCCGCTGCCAACCACCACAACCGCTCCTCCTCCGCCGATGACTACGCCTCTTCTGTATCGTCCGATTCCCTCTCTTCCCTCGGCGACGACCCTCTCGCCGCCTCAAGCGGGCAGCTAATTGTCGGCGTGGAGAGCCAGTATCGCGTGGTTTACCGCCTCGTCAATGGGATCTACGTCCTCGGGATCACGATCGCCGACCACGACAACTCCGTCAACGTCTTCGAGTGCATCCACATCGTCAACCAAGCTGTAAGCGTAATCGTCTCGGCCTGCCGCGGCGTCGACGTCACGCCGGAGAAGCTGAGCCGGAAGTACGCCGAGATCTACATGGCGCTGGACATCGTCCTCCGAGGAGTGAGCAGCATCCGGTTGGCGGCTATGCTGGCTTCGATGCACGGCGAGAGCATCGCGAAAATGGTCCATTCTGCGCTGGACACGGAGAGCAAGATTCGCGGTGGGGACAGCTGGCTTGCGGTGGAAGGTCACGCGATTGAGCACGAGGGAAGCGTGGAAGCGTTCTCCAATGCAATATTTGAGTTACCGCCGGAGACACTCGCTGCCGGAGATGAAGTAGCGGCCAGCCTTGCCCCTGCGGTTGTGGAGCAATTGGAGAAGAAGGAAGAGAAAGAGGAAGAGAAGGATGTACCAAAAGATCCTTTTGCCGCGAGTGAGGCGGTAAACAAACAGGAAGATCTTGCTGGTGAGTTCAAGAAGGATAAGAGCCAGGCTAGCGATTTGACACTTGCTTTGGCTGGGCTGGAGGTTACTACATTGCCACCTGCTGAAGCTACGCAAGCTACACGTATTGCTGTGGAGGGGTTCGAAGGGGATTATGGTGGAATTGAGTTCAGCAATGAACAGACTTCCCTGGGAGAGACGTTTGAAGGGTTTAGTGAAGCTTGGGGTGGTGGATTAGATGCATCAGAATTTGTAGGCACAAAGAAAATTCCAAAGCAGCAAGGTCTCGGTGGATTGGAATTGCTTCAAACAGGTGCTGATCCTGCCGTGGCAGCAAAGGCTGCTGCAGCTGGAGGTGGAGATACTCCTCTTGAGAATCTCTTGGTCCAGAAAACCGAAATGAAGGGACCCGAAATGTACATCGTTGAAGAAATTAGTGCTGAATTTAGAGAATCACTGCTTGCTAGAGTTGGGTTGATGGGTGTAGTTTATTTGAAAACATTACCAACCAAACAGGCTGGCGAAAAAGAAACAGAGTTTTCGTTCCGGGTTGACAACACAAAACCTGTCAAGCGGTTTGTTATGCACAGTTCAAAGATAAGTAGCCTTGGTAATGGAATGTTTCATGTTAGGACTGCTGCCTCGGATGAACCTATACCGATATTGAAGTATAGTTTGTTGCCTAAGTCGACTCCTTTGCCATTGAGGGTTCGTCTAGTTCAACGTCATAGTGGGACCCTTTTCTCTGTCATGATCCAGTATGTCTCAAATCCAGATTTGCCTGCACCGTTGAAGGATGTGACATTTGTTTTGAAGTTGCCTGTTGATCCAACTTTGTTGAAGGTTTCACCCAAAGCAGCATTGAATAGGTCTCAGAAAGAATTGAAATGGGTTTTGCCAGAGATTCCACTTAAAGGTGCTCCTGGTAAATTGAGGGTGAGGATGCCTGTTGACTCGAGTGAAGGAGAAGGTGATGAAGAGATAGAGGCAGTTTGTTATGTTAAGTTCTCCATGGAAGGAACTACCTCATTATCAGAGATTTCTTTGCGGCCTGCCTCAGAAGGGAATACTGACTTCTCTGAGGTTAATCACAGGTACCACAGTGGAGTTTATATGTGCAATTGATCACTGAGAGAACCTTTTCCCGGGAAATTATTGTGTCTTGTTTCTCCTTATTGAGATTTTTGGCCCCTTTTCATTGTAGCATACTTCCTTGTCAAGTTGTAACATAGACTGCTGTTGCTGTGAATTTTTTTTTGGTTTTGTGTTGGTTAGTATTTTTGAATAGATAGTTCAGCTGTTACTTTCTTACCTCTTTGTATTGAAGTTCTTGTTTATGCAATCTTTGGATTCTCGTGATTTTATTTCCCATTTTCTGCTCGAGTAATTATTCTATTTCACGTGGGGCAAGAACCAAGAGAACATGGAAAAAAAGAAGAATAAGAGGGATGTACTTACTGCAATGCTAACTGCGTGGTCTACTGCTACAAAGAAGCTACACATCATTCCAACTATTAACTGCTATTGCTCCTAGCAAAGGCATTGCAATTATGTTTGTAAGAAGAGAATGGGAGGTTTGAATCATGAATTTTCATAACTAAATCTGAAGCATTTCATTTCTATTCAAACTCCTTGCTCATTGTTCTGCGTATAAGTTGGTGGACTTTGGAATGAGATGCATTAGTTGCCTATGCCTGTGTTTGTTTCCTCATTATTTCTGGCGGCTAAAATTCATTGCAGGGATAGTATAATGCATTGTACTGAGTGACGTGGGATGTCATCTGGTGCTGTGGGAGGAATGTTTGACTAGGTATATTAGGAAGAAGGATCCAGCAAGTGTTATCATGATTTCATGTTGCTAGTTTAGGCGAAAGAACAGTTTACAGGTGAACTACATTAGGAAACTTATTGGCACAACATTGCATGGACTAGAAATCTGCTGCTTCTGCTTTAAACCTCGTCCTTTATTTGGACTTACAATGCTGAACATGTCTGTTCGTTGATTTTTTCGTTACACTATCGTCCTTGGTACTTAATGTTTGGCTTCCAGAATTTTGTTTTGTAGTGGGCTTGTATAACATGGGGTTTGATATGCGACCTAGATATTTGTGAACCCTCCTATAAAAACAAAAGATTCCAAACTTGTGCAGCTCTAAGATTTTGCTCAGGAATTACTGAAGTTCGCACATTGCAAGCATGTCATTGTCACTATACGGATTAGTGTGTTTTCATGTATGCTAGGTGGTAACAGGTCTACCTGGGGAAGAGAATTTCCAGCTGTGCATGTTTGTTATTTAGTTCGATACTGTTGCTTAGTTTACCATGTATGATGACCTGAAGATCCACTAGCAAATATGACCGAGAAGTGATCCAAAGGCTATGCTGGCTCTTTGAGCTTTGTTGTTATATTGTTTGGACTTTGGCAACATGCAGGTTTTGAAGGTTGACTAGTCCGGCTTAAGACTGCTGTTAGGCTATGCTGGCCCTTTGAGCTTTGTTGTTATATTATTTTGGGACTTCGGCAACATACAGTTTTTGGAGCTTGACTAGTCAGGCTTAAGACTGCTGTTATATTGGTTCACGGGGCTGGAAATATAAATATTTGTCAAGTTTGTGAATATTGAGTTTTGACGGTAATCGAGTTCTGAATTGCCTTGAAGATTAGGAGGTAAAGTTTCTGACATTTGCAACTTATCATGATACCAGGAGCAGCATTAACTTGTTTGGTTTTCCATTATGTTGTATGTGTTGGTGATTTAGCATTTTTGTCTTGTTATCTTCATTTATGTTTCAGCCAGGAACAGAACCAACATCTTTATGGAAAGCCATGGTGTCTTGATTGCTGGTAAACATCGATAGCTATTCCTCGCAACTATGCTGAACTTTCCCTAGTGAGGGTGCTAGCTGTCTATCTGCAAGTTCCGGTTTGCTGCCAATCTAATGAAATTGTGCTCCTGTGCTTGCAGAAGTAATCTTTGTGTTCTGGATACTCTTAATCTAGCACCGAAGGCACTTCTTAGAACCAAACAGATTATTTGTACTCCCATGAAGAGAGTGATAGGAGAAGACAGATGATCCATATTGCAACTTTGGAGATAGAGAGCAGAATAAATCCAATAAGTTAACAGGAGTTTGCCGAGTAGGAGGCTGCCTAAGTCAATGTGACAAACTGGACAAGTGTCTAAATCCGGATGCCGTATCTTCTTGCGTTAGTATCTTCTGCAACATGCAGGGATCGATGGATGAGCGTTTACTCTCTTCAGCTCGGAGAAGACGCGCACACTAGAAGATAATAGGTGAGTTTTTAGACACTCATCCAATATGTCATTTGACTCAGGGTCTCTTGCTCTCGAAGAGCCCTGAGGTTACTTGTTTGGCTCATCGACCCCTCTCGGTCTCCAACCACAATGTTGTAATATAGGTATCATCTCTTTCTCTTTTTGAGTACAAATAGTACGTCTCTCTCTGTCTCTAGAGTACTCATGGTATGTTTGGTTCTACGGAGAGTACCACAGATGGAAGGAGGAATGAGCTTGGAATTGTATCGACTGAGCTCTTGGCTGGTAGAGAGAGCTAGAGCATTAATAAGTTCACATATTCAGAAAGAAAAAGGTACACCTATTTTTATGGATAACCAAGTCTTTCTGTTCAGCAATAAGTTCATATATTTTGATGTTGGCACTATTTTTAGGAACGCGATATTCATGCCTTAGTCTCCCCCATAACTAAAAGAAGAAATGCAAAGGGGGCCGCCACTAAGGTGAGTTGCTTTCATCTTTTGTAGTTAATATCCTGAAATCTTCCCTAACATGCTACTACTCTGTAGCCTGGAAATGGTTGACAGAAAGATCAGCAACTTTGTTCATGCATTCACACATCATCTTCCATTATTGTTCTCTCCTCGAGTGGTCACTTAAGTGGCTTCCCCTGGTCTTAAAAAGTCAACAGTCCCGAGATTTCGACATCGCCCAGAGTGTGGTTTGTCTCTGCTTTCTTGCTTTCTTTCTGACTCTTTGCTGCTAGACTGTAGTTGGTATTACTGTAGCCCATGCCCCTAAATTCGTGGTGTCTAATGATTCCTCTTTTCATGGTCCTAATCAGGATTGGCAGCTACTTATAGAAAAAGAACAAAAGAACAGGCGGCTTCCCGTCTCCTATCAATGTACCTTATGACACACAGTGTGCTGCTAGATTATAGGCTATAGCCACTAATCTGTGTTCAAGTTTTCTCTGTTTCAGATTTTTTTGAGATCCTACGACATGGTAGATCCCCAGAGAAAAGGGTGAAGGAAAAAAATTCACACTCTACAGCATCTACCAGCCTGGAACCCTCATTTCATCAAGGAGCATAATCGGGCTGTGCCGATTTAATTTGCAGGTTGAAGATCACTTCAATCTTTCTGTTTGATCCATGAGAATGAAACGACTTTCTTCCTTAGTTCATCCACTTCGTTGATACTAGGTCGTTTGTTGTCGTTCGTTATGCATTGACTTACACTTGATTACTGCCCAGGTGCGCATCTGAGTTACTCGCCGCTGGGGGAAATGAACAGAGGTCTGGAACGATGCGCTGGACGCCATAATCAGCCTGCAAAAGAAATGCTGTAAGTGAAGTATTTGGTCAAACTCTAATCATTGATTCTCTTTCTCATGCAAATTAGTTCTTTAATCGGAAGAAGAAAACAAAACGAGCTCAGTTTCCATGATTACAGCAACAGTAACAACGACAAAAACTTAGTTATCAAATAATTAACGGGCAATAATGCTATGTGCTATTTGGAACAATTCAATAGGATGGTTGCTTTTTATTGTTTTCTTTTGGTAGGGATAGGGAAATTGGTGTTATAAGATGATTGGAAAATGGGGATTACGGTTGATTCTTTCTTCTCTAACATGATTTGAGAATGGGCCAAATCTCCAGCAGTGAAAGCCTCGTGTAGTGATAAATGGGCTAGCGGGCACTTTCGTGAAAAGAGAAACGAAAAAGTAGGGTTATTGACATTTATTAAGGCTCCTGGCTCTGTTGTTTATTTGTCTATAGTCCTTGAGTGAAATTTTTTACCTGGATCTGTAAGTCAAAGTAGGGGTGGGAAACTGTGTGGTTTATCACTTAGAAATCGAGAGTTGCATCGAGAGTTGCATCGTTTTTCACTGGTTATCGCACCGTGTAGCGTGGTTAACCTCAACTGAATAAGAGAAGAATAACCAATCGTGACTGCACCGCAAATGGTTTGCAATTAACCACTAGCTGCACATTTAAGTTAGTGGTTAACCGAGGTAGTAATCGAAAAGGTCACTCTGAGGTCTCTGGAATAAGGTAGTTGCCACTCCTCACTAGCGATCGATTCCCCTTGTCTCTCGACTCTATTCATCACTCCAGTCTCCAGGTTGGCAGGTCTCTAGTAACCCTAGGAAAGGATTTCGTTTTGCAATTTGGGAAAACAACGTCAAAGCGTGGAAGAGGATTGACGAATTGAGAGTAACGAAAATGGAATTGGTGGATTCTTGGAGGCTAGAAGTGCCGAGTTGGGGTGGATGGGACGCTAGGCGGGCTGGTGGTGGTAGGGCTTGCCAGCCTGAGGTGTTGCTCTAGCGTTGGCTTGTTGACTACTATTTTAGTGTTGTTAGTGAATCAACCATGATTTTATTCGATGCGGTTTCTACAAACCGTGATCATATAAGAGCCAATTTAAACGGTTAGCTGCTAATCGCGCTTATTCGGTACAGTCGTGATTTAACGGCAAAATCGTAATAGTTTTCCCACCCATTTAGTCAAAGATCTATCGGTTGCTCTTCAATTTGGCTTTGTCATGCTACCAGATAAATTGTGAAGAAGAGTGTTTAGATGAGATGGTAGTTGATTTGAGGGGCAAAACATTAATCTATGTTATACGTGATATATGGGTAGTGTAAGATGTGCTTACCAATAGGAACAACAATGGGTCGGGTTTAGGGTGCATTTTTAATTACACACCCTCTCCATCACCGTGCCAGTGGTACTTTTTCATCTTCGTGGTTTTCAGATACCTGCAAATAATGTCATCCGACACATTGTTATCAAAATTCAATTCAAAATTAATATAACTAAGTTGAAAACACATATGATTGTAATGTTTGTACGGTGA